TTGTAAACACATGCAACCAGAGATACACACACACACACACACACACACACACACACACACACTACACTTCCTTAGATAACAATGAAGATTATTTAAATGAAACAATAGCGTGTGCCTTTTCAGAGATAAGACTACCAATATCTATCAAAATTTTAAATGTACACACCCAGTAAAAATGATAGATTTACATGTTTACATAGATGATGTCACTGCAGCATTGTTACATGCAAAAAGATCCATAAAGAACTAGCTAAATATATTCACTCACTGAAAGACTATTCAAAGTATGAATAGACTATAGACTTTTCCAAAAAATAGAAGAGAGGGGAATACTCCCCTACTCATTCTATAAGGCAGTATGAAACCAAAACCAGATAAATATCACAAGCAAAGCAAACTATAGACCAATATCCCTGAAGAATTAGATGCAAAAATAAAATACTTCCAAGCTTAAACCAGCAACTTATAAAAAGGATTACATACATGACCAAGCAGGAATACAAGGTTGGTTCAACATATCAAAATCAATCCAAGTAGGATAAAAATCACATGACCTTCTTATTAGAGGCAGAAAGAGCATTTGGCAAAATCCAACACCCTTTCATGATAAACATTCAACAAACTAAGAATGGAAGGGAACTTCTTCAACTTAAAGGACTTCTACGAAAAACCCACAGAATGACTGAAAGCTTTCTTCCTAAGATCAGGAACAAGACCAGAATGTATGCGCTCACCATTTCCATTCAGTCTTGTACAGGGTTCTAGCCATAGTAATTAGACAAGAGAAAGAGAATAAAAAGGCATCTAGATTGAAAAGGAAGAGGTAAAACTATATTTGAATATTATATGACTAGTCTATATAAAGCCCCAAAGAATACATACAGAAAGAAATTAGAAATAAGTTCAACAAGGTTGCAGAATACAAAGTCAATTTACAAAAATCAATTGTATTTCTATAGATGCAATGAATAATCAGAAAAGGAAGTTAAGAAAATAATTCCACTCACAAAAGCATAAAAAAATAATTAGGAATAGATTTAACCAAAGCACAAAACTTGTACACTGGAAACTACAGTACATTGTTGAAAGAAATTTAAGAAGACTTAAACAAATGGAAAGATACTCTGTTCATGGATTGGAAGACTTAATATTATTAAGATAGCAATACTCAGGCCAGCCGAGTGGCGCGTTGGTTAAGAGCTGGCTTGGGACGCCAGAGGGCCTCAGTTCGGATCCCACATATGAGGGCCAGTGACACTGCCCTCCACAGCTAAGATGCTCAACAACAGCTCAACGTGGGGCTGGGCTGCCATGAGTCTCCGGCGACGGCATAGACTGCAGCCCCTGCTGCAGTGGGTTGCCATGGGCTACCGTGTGTAGCCAGTGGCCAGCATAAGCGGCCAGCAGCCGCAGTGAGCGCCGTCCAGAAGCCAGTGACCAATCTGCCTCGCCCGGGAAGAGCGCTATGATGATGCCAACTTGGGCCAGTGAAGCAACGTCCTCCACAACTAGACTGAAGAAAAAAGGACAGCAACTTGTCTGTTCCCCTTCCCCCAATTCCCCAGCGCTGTTCCCCTCCCCCAGTTCCCCAATAAAGATCTTTAAAAAAAAAAAGATAGCAATACTCCCCAAAGCCATCTACAGATTCAATGAATTCCTATAAAAATTCCAACAGCCTTTTGCACAAATGGACAAACCTAAAATTCATATATAATTGCAAAGGGATCTCGAATAGCCAAAACAATCTTGAAAAAGAACAAAGTTGGAGGATTCACACTTCGTGATTTCAAAACTTACCAACACCATAATAATCAAGACTGTGGCACTGGCAAAAGGTGACACATAGATCAATAAAATGGAGAATCCAGAAATAAACCCATGCATCTCTGGCCAACTGATTTTTAACAAGGATGCCAACACTATTAAATGGGTGAAAGAATGGTCTTTTCAATAAAATGGTGCTTGGATATCCACATGCAAAGTAATCAGTTTGGAACACTACCTCACACTACATGCAAAAATTAACTCAAAATGTATCAAAGACCTAAATGAAGAGCTAAAACTATAATACTTAGAAAACACGGAGTGAAATCTTTGTGACCTGGGACTAGGCAATAGTTTCTGAGATATAATACCAATAAACACAAGCAACCAAAGAAAATAGATAAATTAGTCCTCATCACAATTTAAAACTTTTGTCCCATCACGTATATAATGGTGCAGTAGAATGCAAAATTTCCACTAGTTTATAAGTGCATTTCTGAGAAATGTATAAAATAAGAGTGGCGGAAGCTGGTCAGAGCAGCCTGGAATGCATGTACCTCCAATGAACGATGTCAACGTTGAAGCCCTTGGTTGGAGTCTGCACAAGGTGCCATTTCAGAGATCTTTGGATTTCATCAATCAAATTGACTGCAATTGTCCATAAAAACCCTGAATTGGGGTCAGAAAGTGGCCAAAGTAGATTCAGATCATTTGAGCTGTCTTATGATAAATATATATCCTTTCAGGCTAAAAAGAAAACAAAACTTGTCCATGAGGATACTATCAAGAAAGTGAAAAGACAACCTGAAGAACAGGAGAAAATATTTGCAAATCATAATCTGATGAGGATCTAGTATCCAAAATATATAAAGATTCTTATAATTTATAACCTATAAAAAGAATACAGTTAAAAACCAAAGGATTTGAATAGACATTTCCCCAAAGAAGAAATAACAAATGCCAATAAGCACATGAAAAGATGCTCAGCATCATTAGATAGTAGGGAAACACAAATCCAAACCACATTGAGATTCCACTTGATACCCACTAGCAGGGCTATAATAATAAAGACCAACAAGTGTTGGTGAAGATGTGGACAAATTAAATTCTCATACATTACATGAGAATGTAAAGTGGTACAGCTGCTTTGGAGAATATTTTTAGCAGTTCCTCAAATACTTAAACATAGAATTACCATGGAACCTACCAATTCTACTCCTAGGTATATAACCAAGAGAATTGAAAAAAATGTTTACACAAAAACTTGTGGAATATTATTCAGCTATAAAATAGAACTAAAGTACCGATACATGCTACAACATGGATGAACCTTGAAAACATTATATTAAGTGAAAGAAGCCACACAAATGGCCACATATTGTATGATTCCATTTGTATGAAATTTCTTAAATAGGCAAATCCATAGAGGCAAAAAAGTAGATTAGTGATTGCCAGCAGCTGGACGAAGGGATGAGAGGGTACAGTGTTTCAGATTTCAAAAACAGATTGTGCATAGATCTATAAAAACATTTATAAAATTCTGGCATATGAAAAAGGTGCCTTTGTGGATGGATAGGAGAAGACAAGACTGTTCCAATGTCCTATGATCCTACAATCCAGTGGGTATAATTGTGGAACTTGTCCAGACCCTGGGAGACACCAAAATTCTGTTTAATGATAAGAACTCAGAAGATGTTTAATATAAAACCTAAATTGATTTTCCCTTCAACGCCCTTGGGCACATATTTACTTTTATCTCGAGTCCTTTCTTATCTTCACTCATAGCAAATTATACTATGACCTCCCTATATTTATCTCCAAGATAAGAAAGACAGAAGAAAACCCTTCACATGGACCTGGCCAACAAGGCTGAGTCTATTGAGCAAGTTAGCCTTTGCTTAATTTTCTCCATCCCCATTCCTTCAGCCTTAGCTGGGGTGTTTTTATAGAACTTCCAGAGCGTGGAAGACAGACATTTGGGCTTCCTTCTTGGCCCATGCTTTCAGGGGGGTAAAAGGCAAGAGCCCGAGACCAGTGACTTTTAGGATGATGACATGCCATGATTCACTGTAGCATTCTGGGTAGGATTACAAGTCATAAATTTCAAATGACCTTAACTTGGACTTTTAGTCACAAGGTACATGTGGAGGAGGTGGTCTAAAAGGTATATTTTAAGCCCTTGCATGAGGCACATGAGAAAAGAAGGAAGCACGATCTATGATTAAGACTTATTAGCTAATGGCATTCCTTCCATCTTTATCCGCTGAGGGAAGACCATGAGGCATTGGTAGCGATAAGGTCAAGTCCCTCAGGTGATTTCCTCCATGTGCAATCTGGAATCAGGGTGAAGTAAGAAGAAAATTCAGTACCCCATAAACTCCCCAAATCCTCAAAACTCATTTCTAGACCAGAGTGCAGTGGTACTTCTCTGAGAGACCCCTACCAACCCAGGACAATATCCTATAATAGCCCTGATTTATCACATAGAAGTCCTTGAATACCTGGACACAGAAGACCCTTAACCCTAACAAAGAAAGGGCCTCAGGTAACATCCTCTCCCAAGAGGCAGAATTACAGGAAAATGAGGCTCTAGAACTTTTACTTAAGAGGATCGTAGACCTTGGTACGCCCATCAGTAAGACTATTCCACCTTTCAACTTGTCTTCATCTTTGTGAGTTTCAATTTGAAAGAGACTTTTGTGAGCTCTTCCAAGAATGTAAATTACTGTACTGACTTGTGCTTCCAAGTCAAGTGGCTGTTGCTCTCTAAGTTGTGAAAGCCAGAAGACTCAGTCTGCTTTCCATGCCCTGGCCTCTCGCCGCCCATCTGGGCAGTTAGTTGAGTAGATGGGGAATGTTTCTCTTCTGTAAGAGGAAACTAGTGTTATCCTAGTTCTCCCCCTGTTCCTTCTAAATGGCCTGACTGGGGGCACCACTGAATCACTCTTCCTCCCCTTACTCTTTCTTGACCAAGTGAGAGTCTCCAGCTCTCTCTTTAAACTAAGTGCCGGCCAGTATCACATTCATCCCTCCTCCTGGCAGGAATGGCATCTTAAGGTCCTGTGTCCCAATCTTTAGGACACAAGATTCCTAAAGCCTAGTTTCAAAGAATATCTGCTAAAGCTCTGGTTACTTGCTTGCAGTTCTAGTAAAAATTAATGTTAAAGCAGAAGAGAAACATTTCTACATCCATATTTTTCCTTCTTGGTCCAAATCCACAGGAACACAGGCAGCACTGCATTTGAGACTTTCGGACACTTTATTTTTATAATTTTACCAACAAAGTAGCCACTGGTATCCTCAGGCTTTGCATCTCTAGCACAAATGCTATTTTTGCTCTGAAGAGTGCATCTTCATTCCCAGGACAAAAAGTACACGTTGCCTTGTGTGTCTCCCACTGCGAGCTGCAAGGTAGAGTCAGGCCCCAGCCAAGGTTCCAGGCAGCTCACTGCCCCTTCGCACCGGAACAGGCCCAGCTAGAATGGGAACAAAAACGAGGGACTGAAGGCGACGAGCCTAGGGCCTCCTTACTAACTTATTTTTCTCTCACATTAATAATGCCTTTGATTTAGAACAGGTTAGTCACCCATTACTGTAAAAAGGATAGAAGAGAACAGAATTCTGATCTTTTGTACTTTCTTAGCCCAAGTTTGCTCTCTTGTGACATCCCTTCAGTACTCCTTGTGTGTATACATCCTTGTGTGTGTGTGTATACACACACACACACACACACACACACACACACACACACACACACACACACACACAGACAAACTTACCAGGTGCATACTGGGTCTCTCCCACAGCTTAATATCTTTGTCCTTTGAAGCTGTCACCAGCAACTCAGGCAGCACATGGAGGGCTGTGACAGCGTCCGAGTGAATCTCAGAGAGGAAGGGGAAGCGTATGGTGAGTTTTCAGGGTGCCCTCTTCAGTCTGCTGGGGTGAGACCTAGGGCCTCTTCCCCTATATTTCTGACCCTTCCCTCAAACTCACCTTTCTACGCTGCTGCGTCTTTAGATGTGGTTTTGCTGTCCAGCTATCCATGTCACTATATATAGATGGGTCTGTCCCTGGAGTTTGGGTTTCAGGCATTTTTACTGTTTTCTGCCAGATGTTACCTGTGGTCCACTTTCCTTCAAGGGTGCATCTGGCTAGGTTCCAAAGCATCCCATCAGAGCTGGCACACAAAAATGAGGATTCTGCCATTTGAAGAGCAGGGTTAGAGCCAGGTCTCAGGCTTTGAAGGATCCACCATCCTCCTCTAGGCCACCTCCGGACTCCTTGAGTCCTCCAATCACCACTCACCGGATTCAGGTTTGGCCTGAGTTACTGATATTAGGGTCCCACTAGGATTCTCTAGGTTCAGATCAAAGTCCAGGCTCTCCTCAAACTCTCCGGATTCCTTCTGCCTCTGTGAAAGGATAGAGCATTCTGTTTAGCCTACATGTATCCTGTAACCCTGCCCAGACAAACCAACTGTTTTCTGCTCTGGATTTTTATTTTTTTAACTATAACCTAGATACCATAAAGTATACAAATCTTAAACGTTTGTCTCCATGGATTTTTATATATGTATACACCCATATAATCACCACCCAGATTGAGATGTAGAATATTTCCATCACCCTGGAAAGCTGCCTTCATGCCCTTCCCAGTCAATACCAGAGCACCACCGCCCCCAGAGCAAACAACATTCTGACTTCTGTCACTATAAACTCATTTTGCTTATTCTTGAATTTCATTTCAGTGAATTCATGTAATATGTACTCTTTTGTGTCTGGCTTCTTTCGCCCAACATAATGTCTATGAGATATGCCTGTATTGTTCTAGACACTGCTCATACTCACAGTGGCAAGACAAGAGATATGAAAAAAAAAATGCAATGAAGAGAACTCCTAGGTTTATGGTTTCCAGTGATTTTTTTTAAACACTAAAATCCTTTTTTGTATCAGTGAAATCTTAGAGGGAAACTCCAATACATACTGCTCTTAAGTAGAGCTGCTCCAGTTGAAGGAAGAGAAGGGGATTTGGAACCAATTGCCTTTCCCTCTGTCTTACCCTCTGTCATGCCCCCAAGGAATTAAAATAATGGCTCTGGACCAATGTTTGTTTGAACACACACCCAAACAGGACTTACTAAGACAGACAGAATTCCAGGGGCCATTGGCTGCAGGACAAACACACCAAACTCCTGATGAGTAGACAACATTATAAGATGCTCCGTATACCTGCTCCTGGTTTATAAGAAAGAAAGAAAGAAAGAAAGAAAGAAAGAAAGAAAGAAAGAAAGAAAGAAAGAAAGAAAGAAAAAAAGAAAGTATGAGCCCTGGAATACTTCTCCATAAGACTCCTGTGTCTGTTCTAAATTAGACCCCACCTCAGGGTAACCGCTAACCCACTTTTCCTCTTTCTCCCACCCGAGAGGAAACAGCATTTTGGATCTTACCAGATTACAGAGGGAGCGTCCCCTGATTTCATGTGCAGTAACTGCAAATCCGCATTGGCCAAGATGAGGGAGTGACCATCAGGAGCCAGGCCCACACCTGCCAGGAACCCTGAGCCCTCCTGTATAACTCGGTTCAGGTGAAGACTGTAGCTCAAAAAAAGCACACGGACAGAGAAAGATCCAATTTTAGTTCACCTCTCTTAGGCTGCTCAGCTCCCCATGAATTCCTCAGGAGTAGAGTATAAAACAAAATTGTTTCTTTCTGTTTTTCTTATATCAGTATTCATCATCACCATCCCTTCACTTGCTCAAACTAGGAATCTCTAACATTCTTGTCATTTCTTCCCTCCTGACCTCCCACTGATCAATAAGCACTAGGGATCCTACTTGAAACACATGACTAAATCTGTATCTCTCCTCCTCATCCCTGCCCAGGACAGGACCAACATTATGTCTTCCCCGGACGATAGCAACACCTATAAAAGGGGTCTTCCTACCTTTAATATCTCTCTACTACTATCCAATTTCCATATTGCCACCTGAGTTCTCTTTCTAAAATTCAGGTAATTATTTTGCTCAAAATTCGTAGCACTGTGCTCTCTACAGCCTGGACCCAGTTGATTTTTTCAATCTAATACCCCCGCAACTCCCACCAAGAACCCCAAAACTTGGCTATATGTATGTATACACCATGTACTCTCATGCCTCCATGTCTTTTGTTAATGCTACTTTCTCTTCCTATACCATTGCCTTCACTTACTGGTCCAGAAAACTCCTATTCATCCTTTAAGCCCAAACTCAAATAACAACTGTAAATTTCTCAAATTCTGCAGCCATATATATACAGATAGATAGATAGATAGATAGATAGATAAGATAGATGGCCAAAAAAATGTATACACATTTTAAGAAAGGAAAAAACTATTAAAATTGTGATACTCAAATATATACTGATAAAAAAAGATGAATACAAGTCACATTTAACTTCTGAAATCACAAGAGGTACTCAAAGTGGTTACTATCAGTGTCCAGACACTTCTGATTACAGCAAACTACTGCTTGAGCAACACTGACCAAAGTGTCCACTTGTATATATTTTTTTGGCACCCCGGGTATATATACCTTTACTGTAGCACTAATCATTCTGAACATTGTTGATGGTTTACTTATACACACATTCCTCTACTGTGAGCTTTTTAAATTAAAAAATAAATTTCAATCTGGTTCACACTGGCTAGCCCAGAACTTAGCATAAAGTAGGCATTTGATATTATTTAAATTGACATGACAAGGGGTAGAAAAAGGTTTTGCAGGGACTTTTTTCTGCCTAATAACTAACCTCCTATTGACCTAGTTCAGAAGTAGAGGTGGAGTGATTTGAGTAAAATCCTGGGTACAAGGAGACTATTGTTCTTATCACGTTAACCCGGCTGCCTCGTTTCACCTGAAATTTCTGGGAGTTGAACCCTTCCGCAGTTCCACTTGCCACTCGCTGACTTTTTCATCAGCACTGACCACAACCAAGGTGTTTGCCGAGCGCCAGATTAGAGCACTGATGCGGCCTGGAGCCTGGTGTATACAACAAGTTCATTTCAGTATGTCTGAGAAACCAGGGTTGACCCTCTCCTCTCGCAGGCATCTGTGCAACCTCCAACCCCGGCACGTACCATTAGATACATAGCCGGAGCAGAATTCACACAGACAGAGAACTGAGGTTGCCCCAACTCACCTGTGCTGTGGCCACAGCCTTAGCCTCCTGCCATAAGGTTAGCTCCCCGGCTTGATTCCCAGACACGGCCAAAGAACCATCTGGGGCCCAGGCCACAGCCGTGACGGCTGCAGGACTCCTGGGTATATCCGTGTCATCTGGAGAAGAGAGAAGTGAATCATTAGGAGCTGGACCACTGTTGGGATACAAAAGGAGATACCAGGCTATCCTTAACCTTCTTGGTCCCAGTTACACACCCTTCTTTCATACCTTGCCTCTCTCCAGACTTCACTCACCTGCTTCCTGAGGTACCTCCCAGAGCCGTATGGAACCATCCTCCGAGGTGGTCAGCAGGAGGCCTGAGGCCTCGGAAACAGCAGCTGCACTGACTGGGCCACTGTGTCCCAGGAGGGTATGTGTTTGAAACACCTAGGAAGGACAGAGATGGAACAATAAGGGGTTGACACAAAGAAGGTTATCCCACGATATCTTTCCCACCACCCCCCACCTCAGTCCTTTCAGGAAACTCACCAAGAGTGGATGCCATAACCGTGTGACCCCATCCAGCCCAGCAGTCACCACGAGAAGCTCTGACCCGGGCTGGCCAGCTGATAAGACATAGACAGTGAGAAAAAGGGGAGAAGCAGGGGCGAAGGAAGAGGCAGTGGGGAAGGGAAGGTGGCTGCTGTTTCATCACCTGCACGGGCCTCCAGGGCAGCTGCACAGTGGCTGATGGGTCCTGAGTGAGCAGGGATGCTGGTCAGCTCCACACCCTGATGATCCCACACTTTCAAGGTCCCATCCCGGCCCACAGACACTACGTGCTCCTCCTGCTCAAGAGCACAGGAACAGAGAAGAGTTACACTGTGCAGGATATGGGAAGTACGACCCCCCATCACAGAGGTGTGGGCTGAGCATTAGGGGCTTAGATATCACACGGTGTGGAGAACTCGGGACGTGAGGCTGGGGGCTCAGGGCTGCAATCCTCCCATGAGGTCATGAATCTAAGATGCTGTGTTTTCATGCTCTCCCTCCCCTCACGCCAACTCTCAGTCTCAACACCCTAATCCAGGCCTGACATCTCATTCTTTCTATTTCTTTGCCTTTGGGATTAGATACCCAATGCACCCAGTCTCCCAAAGCCCCCTTAGCTTTCCCAGAGACCCCCGGGCAACTCTCACTGCCTCTCACCACAGCCACCACGGCGCTCACGGCACTCTGATGACCCAGGAACTGACCCAGCTGCTGTCTCAACTCCGGGTCCCACAGCCCCACAGAGCCATCGCTGGAGCAGGAGATCTGCAGAGTCAGAGTCAGAGGCGTGGGATTAGCAGCATCCCCCCAGCATTTTTGTGTGCTTATAATGTGGGGTAGAGGGCGGTAAGTCTTTAAGACAAAGAACATGGGCTGTCTTGGGTTCAAATCCTGCCTCCACCATTCATTACTTCGTGACTTGGAGCAAGTTCACCTCTCTGAGACTTAGGTTTCTCATCTATTCAACTAGGATAATGACAGTGCACCTATCTGATATGGCTGCTGTGGGGCTGATGCATCTATACAAAGGACTTAGCCTGCTGCCTGGTACACAGAGAGCACTGTGTAGCAATTGTCCTTGTTACTAACATAATGTCAGTCAATAAACCCAGACAAAGGTGAAAAGTCTATTCATCTGATACTCCTTAGTCTTCTCTTTTTGAAAACAACACAGGGACTCTACATTGAAAAACGAGGTTCACCAGAGGCTTGGTCCAAGTGACACTGGGCACTTGAGATGAGGAGGGTCTGGAGGTGCAATAGGGAGTTAGAGACGGCTGCAGAGCCTGATTATGCAAGATAGATGCATTTATAATAAAAACACTCTGAAACCTCAAGTGCATAATGCGAGACTGACTTTTGCCTCTGGACAACGACATCCCAGCAGTACTCCAGGTGCGGGATGGGGCATCCTAAAGCCTTGGGGAGACTGTTCTGTGTTCTTCTTAAGAGCATGAGCTTTCCTAGCAGAACGTTTACTGACTCGGCTTCATCACTTACATGGCCTTGGAAATGTTCTTGAATCCATCTGAGCTCAATATCCTTGTCTATAAACTAGAGATAATAGTAGTATCTACAGGGCGCTGTAGAGATTAAATGAGGCAATCGATATATGCCAAGAGCTTAGTCCAGTGCCTGGCACATCCTAAGTGCTCAATAAATGTTAGCTATTTCTATTATAAATGGGTGTCAGAAAAGGAAGCGATGGGAGTGTTGTCCTCCCCCAGGAAGCCTGCTGAGCTTTGCACCATTCCTACCCTTCACTCACCAGTAGGTTGTCTTTGGTCCAAGCACAGCCAGTGACCCAGTCACGGTGACACACAGAGAAGGAGCAAGTCAGAACAGGGGCTGTGGGTGTCCTCACATCCCAGCAGAGGAGACTCTGGATAGGTCCCAAAAGATGGAGCAGTTAGGACCACAGGAGGGAGGTGGGAACACCAGGGCCATTTCAGGAAAGAAGTTTCAAGGAAAGAGGGAGTATTAAAGAAGGGAGGTGGGCAGACCCAACACAGGTTGGCAAACAGCCAGAGAAAGCAATGGGAATTGTGCTGTTCAGGAATCCAGGAACCAGAGGGGCTGTGGGGGTCAAGGGGGGATTGGGAGCTCAGGGGGAGCAGGGCCCAGGGGTTGCATGTTGCATCCTTCTGTGGCTCACCCGATCCCTGCCCCCGGTGGCCAGGCTGCCTCCATCAGTGCTGAAGCTACAGCAGTTTACAGGGCCCTGATGTCCCAGGAGTTCAGTGCCACAGGGAAAGTCTTCTGCCTTTTGTGGCAGTGTCAGCAACTGCCTCGGCCACAGCCGCACTGTGAAATCCTCTGCATTGGAAAGAGGGAGAGAGGAAGATTCCCTGAAAGAGGAAGCGAGACAGGCCCAGAGGCCAAAGACAAAAAGGCAATCGTGGGCCGGCCGAGTGGTGCGATGGTTAAGAACTGGCTTGGGACGCCAGAGGCCCCCAGTTCAGATCCCACATATGAGGGCCAGTGACACTGCCCTCTACAAAAAGAAAAAGAAAAAAAAAAAAGGCAATCGTGTGGGCCAAGGGTGAGGTCTGAGGGCAAAGCTCCAAGGGAGGGATGCAGTGAGTCACAGGCTATGGAGAGGCCTGGGACAAGGGTCAGTCACCATGTGAGTCCACAGGACAGGATGCCAGGCACTCCCAGCACCGGCTCTGCAGCTGTCTCTCCCTAACTCCCTACTGCACCTCCAAACCCTTCCCGTCTCTAGTGCCCAGTGTCACTTGGACCAAGCCTCCTACCTAGAGAGGTCTAAGGCCACTCTGCATTTTCACCTCCACATCTCTCTCTCCTCCTAAGGGGAAACCCATCCCTTTATACAGCAGTCTCCCACTGGGCAGAAAATCAAAGGCGGGGATTGCAAAGAGGTCCCAGAGTCCGGGTTAAGGAACAAGAAGAAACAGTCTAGGCTGATTATGCAAGACAAGTGCATTTAAAGCACTTTGAAAGTTGTAAAACAAATTGTGTGTGTGTGTGCTTTCATACACACATATACATATACATTGAAGAAAAGTATTAGCATATTTAAAAGGACCAATGATTCACAACCCTGCCCAGAGCCCAGTACTACCTGAGGCAGAAGCCAAGAGTTCCTGAGAGGTGGCCAGTCCCAGCACGGGCTTCTGGTATCTGGACAGGAGCCAGAGGGACTGAAGGGAGCTTTCCTTGAGTGCCCAGCCCTGCAGGGACCCATCTTCTGCACCACTCACCAACACCTTAGGGCTTAGCCACGCTAGTGCGGACACAGCCACATCTAGTGCTTGACACTGAGCCCCCTGGGAACCTAGAAAGTGAGAGAAAACAAGAGAGGAAGACACTTGGAAAGGGGATCAGGGCGGGGGGACCTCTTTCCTAAGGCTCAAACGCCCCATCCCTTCTCCCTTCGGTACCTGAAGAAACTGCATAGATCCTGATGCCATCTGCTCGGTACCCAACAGCCACCAGCTCACCATGTGGGCTGAGAGCCACGGAGAGGGCAGGAGACAGAGAGAGGGAACCTAGGCACCCACGGGGCCGACCCAGAGACCCGGACCACACCTGAACCTGAGGGCCAATAAAAGGACTTAAAGATATTCCACTTGCACCCCAGAGTTACAACCACCCCATTAAATTCTCCCTCTAGAGACTTTTCTCCTGAGAGCTACCTGTACGCACACTTGCACCCATCTCCCTCAAGCTCGCACCAGCCAAGCTCCTCCATAGCTTTCTCAACAAAGGCCTACCTCACCCAAATGTCCCCTGCCTTTGCTACCCCCTCCCTGTAACCCACCACAAGCCCTCTGTAGCCTGACCTTGCCATCCTCTCCAGCCGTCAGTAACTGGCACCCAGCACGCAGGAAAAGGGCAGCAGCCACAAAGCCACTGTGGGCAGGGAAGGCAGCCAGCCGTGCCCCCTCCTGCCAAGCCCACAGCTCCACCATCCTGTCCAGCCGGCCCACTGCCACGACCCGTCCAGGCGCATTGAAGGCCAAGGTGCGAACGGAGGCTCCTGGGGCCCCCAGTTCCTATATGGGGAGGTAGAAATGGAAATGTCAGGGCCTGCTCTCAACACAGGCCCAAGGTGACACAAAACATGGATGTGTGTCATTCCCCACCTTCCACTCCCAACCTTCTGTGTTCCTCCCCCAGGGCGCCAGAGGACCTTCTCACCTTGGTGACTTTGAGCCCGTCCACCTGGAAGAAGCTGACACTGCCAGCCCAGCTGCCTACGGCTATTACCCGGCCCTCTGGGTGGAAAGCAATGCAGTTCAGGGGCTTGGGACAGGTGTGCTGGAAGGCCAGCTGCCCACGGACTGTGTCCCACAGCTGGAGGAGGGAGAAGGGGAAGCATCAGGTGCTGAATACAGATGCCTGAGCACCTTCATCCTAGCGCTCCAGGGATCACCTTGTCCAGTTCCTGTCCTCAGCAGGTAAGGCCTCCCCAGGCCAAGCACTTGGCAGCCTCTGCCAGGCTGACAGAACCACCTCATGGGCTGACCCAGTCAAAATGGTAGGGGCATTTTGACTACCACAGCCCCCAGTCATTACCTTTAGGCACCCCCCTAGGCACACGGTGGCCAGCAACCGGCCGTCTGGGCTCAGGCAGCAGCCGGTGATTTGGTATTGGTGAGCCTTGGTCTGGAGCACCCTATCCAGGGAGACAGAGTCAGGCCCCTGGGGCCTCCTGGCCACAGCTCCCTCCTCACTGCCCTCCCCTGGGCTTCCCACGAACAGGGAAGGCTCGCACTCCCAGGCACAGGGGAGCCCTTACCGACAACCATGCTGCAGGTCCCAGAGCTCCAGGAGCCCGTCAAAGGCAGTGACAAAGAGGGCATTGTCCGAGAGGAATGAACAAGAGGAGACGCCTTCGCAGCCACTCACCACAGACTTTTCCTCCTGTGAGAGCAAGCAGGAAAGCATGCTCAGGACACTCCCTTGACCCCCGCCCCTTACCCAGCCACTCCAAGCCCAACCGAAAAGAAGGCCATAGCAGGGAGCCCTTGGCGCTCTACATTCGTTACCTAAGTCTCAAAATGTGGCCCTCTTTCAACAGGTGTTCCTGATGTGCCGCCAAAGTACAAAGCTTTCGTCCCCCTCCAGCCCTAGGCCAAGCTCATGTTCAAGTGAGGCCTCGTAATCCAAGTGGAGTCACATCTTCTCCCCTACTCCAAACCCTATACGTATCCCCAAATCACAGAAGACTTTGATGGGGCTGAAGCAGGAATGACGTCACATGCATGCATATGTATGGGAAAGATATGGGTGGGAAGAGGACAGACCCGCCTCTCCAGCCTCATCTATCATTACCCTCCTTTAGCACCCTCTGCAGCAACCATTCCCAGCAATTTACAGGAAACATTCTCCTCCCACGTCCTTGCTCAGGCTCCTTACTCAACCCGCAAGGCCTGCCCTTCTCTGTCCTATATCCTCCGGTCATTGTACAACTCACTCAGCTCTGATCTATGTGACATGGTTATGTTTTGGTTTCTTTTTACCTTCTATGCCTTACCTTTCAACAAAACTGACCACTGTCCTAAGCCCTGTGTTCCTTGCAATACTTAGTGCAGTGCCTTAAATGGAAGGTGTGCAGCAAATATTTGCTGTGTGACTGATGTTTGGACCAAGCCCTTTTGATCTGATGTGAGGGAGGTGAAGTTGCTGAATCAAAAAGGGTGACAGCAGGTGGGCTTGGCTTGTTTGGGGCCCCAGGGCAGTCTGTGGGGCTTTTCTGAAGGTAAATTGCCCTGTCTTGAGTGTCATACCTGCCAGGTTCTCAGGTCCAACAAGTAAACCGTTCCATTAGCAGTGCCCACAGCGGCTCTTTGCCCACTGCGAGAGAAGGCCACGGCTGTGGGGGATGAGGAAGCTGCCAGGGACAGGCTGGAGCTAGAGAAAGAGCAGGAAGAAAGGAAAGAAATGAGGAATAAAGGGAAGGGAGTGAACAAGAATTCATTTCTGCATTTCTGGGCCTGAACCGCCCTCTCCACGGTGACTCTGGTCTGTCCTTGATTCTCCCGTTTCAGAAAGGGCTGCAGCTTGCTCTTTGATGGGCTTACCAGGGTCTGGGGTCAAGGGTCTTACCTTTGCTGGCCCCTCATGGTGTTGGGTTTATTAAGCCACCGTAGCATGCACTGGAGGTGCCATCGCTGGGAGAGTTGGGGGGCCTGGTGGCAAAGAGGCGAGTCCAGAGGCTGGTTGGCTGCCTGCTGGGGCAGGAGCAGGGGGTACTGGCTAAGGACTGGCGCCTGCTGCTTCAGAAAGGTGTGAAAGGCAGCAATGTCAGCCTCGGGAAGCTTTTGTTCCTCTTCAGGGACTGAGGAAGCTAGGGAAGAGATGCAGAGGGGTCACTGGGGAACCAGCCTGGACCCCCATGAGCCCCAGCACAAAATACAATCATGCATGCGTCTAAAATGGTAAGTCTCACAGTGTGGCCCTTTGGCCCTATGTCAGGAACACATGTTAAAAGTACAAATTTGGGGGTGCTACTCTAGACCTAGCCAGCCAGAATCTGTGGACCTAAAGATCTACAATTTCAACAAGTTTCCCAGCTTCTTTCATGCCCACTAACTAAAGTTCGAGAACCTCTGATCTAAAAGAGCTAGGCAAAAGGTCTCCCAAGACTCGCTCACCTCGTAGCATTTTCAACTTAGAATGGAAATTAGATTGTTCTTTCCATTACACCTCCATCTGAGCAGGCCCCCATGAACACACCCAGGAGCCCATATCTCAGAGGAAAAATCACCCAGTGACTCATCTCACCATAGAGGGCATGGGCCTCTAGGAGCCGAGAGAGCAGGCCCAGTTCCAGGTGTGCAGCCACCACATGGATACTGGTGAGGAACTCTGCGAGAAGGCCACGGTTCCCACTCTGGAGCTGCGAGGGCCAGAGTGCATTTGTTAGCAGCGTGAAGAGGCTGGTGAGGAGGGACAGTCTAGTCTGAGCCCTGCCTGTGCAGCTAGGGCCTAGACCTAGGAGCTGGGACAAAGGACCTGAAGGAGAAAGGCAGGAAAACCAAAAGGGGAAAGGTAGAGGGAGTTTGGAAGGGGTAAAGGCAGTGGTGATGGGAATGGTGGTCAAGATGGAGAGGGGTCTTGGAACAGCCAAAGCAATTTCTTGGGAGAAGGTGCCTATGGCATGTGGGGACTAACCAGGTGGTATGGTAGGTCTCCCAGAGCCTCGGGAGGGCAACTTCGGAAGGTGCCTGAGGCATCAGGGTCACAGGTCTTCCAGAGCTGAGCTGCAGGTGTGGGTCATAGGAACAGACTTGAGATGGGCTCAGACCTGAGCATCTCCAAAGATCCCCTCCCTCAGGCTATGTATAGCAAGCCATGCACCCACTGGGGTGGCAGGAGAGGGGGCCAGCCAATGGGGACCGCTAGTGAATGGTCGTGGCCTCCAGGCCCAGGCCCCATACCCAGTGCCTTAGGCTGACTTGGGCTGCAATCACCTGCGATGAGGATGTGTGCCATGCTCTCCAGCCCCGGCCTCTTCCCATAGCGACATTTAGCTGCTGTTCTCAGGGGCCCATCAGGGAGGCAGAGACGGGCACCAGGCCGCTCCAGCGGGCCCTCCCCCAGCAAACTGTCCTCATGTAATGGAGAGAAGGAAGGAGAAGAGAGAGAGGAAGCCAGTCAGTGAGCATCCGGACACAGATGTGGGCTCCCATTCCCTCTCCTCCCCCGCAAATAGTGGTCGCTACTGAGTGGCAGCTATTCAGCGTCTGGGAAACAGGTGTCAGGGGCTATGCCAAGGGAAGGGCGGTGTGAAGAAAGGATCACACAGGGCTCTGGCTCAAATAAGGGAAGACCCAGGAGGTCAGTGGGGGTTCAGCTGGAGACACTCGTACCTGCGCAGACTCTGGACGAGGTAGGCAAATGGGCCCATGGGGTAAGGGTCCCCACTGTTACCAGCAGCCACCACTTCTTCCCAGGTCTTGGTCCCTCTGGGAAGCATCCGCCATGCACTCAGCACTCCATGCAGCTGGTCCACAGTGAGACCTGAAAACCAAGCTCTCTGAGGCCCTCACCAAACCACACAGCGTACCCATCCCCAGCACACCTAGTGCCCCTTACACTACTCACTGAAACCCCAGTTGAACCAAGGTCATCCAACCCCTGAGCCTCTGCCTCCCAACCCACCCCAAGCACTGACCGCTACGTGTGACCTCAAGGGTGGTCAAGGCTTGGGGAAGGACATCAGGGCCATGCTCTTGCTCAAGCGTGCCCAGGATGTGCTGCAGCAGCAGGGGGACAGTGGCGGGCAGGGTCCGGAGTCTCTCAGACACCTGGGAGAAGAGAGACGGGCTTCGGTCAGTGGGGGAAGAGAGACAGGCAGCTTTGGTTGTAGAGAGGGGAGGGGGCAGCAGGTGAAACCACAGGAAAGGACAAAAAGGAAAGAGAACCGAGTGGGAGAGAAGTGGTTGGAGGTGAGGTGAGGAGGGGGAACGGGTGATCAATGGTGACAAAAGATGAGGGTGGGGGAAGGTGAAGGATGGGGATGCAAGAAGCTGAATGGAGCCTGGCAGGTGGAATTAGGACTTAGAAGATAAGGAGTGGGGGGTTACATCCTCAACAGACCTGCTCATAGAGTGTGAAGAGCCTCAGGTGATCGGTGACCAGGCGTAGGTAGAGCGGCAGGGCTGACCCTCGCTTCACCAGCAGCAGCCTCATCTGATGAGACGCAGAGGACTCAGCATGAGGACCAGAGAGCCTGCCCACAGCCAACCCTCTGCCCGCTGCCCTCCGGTCCAGCACAAAGCCCACTAGCTCCTCCTCTGAGAGCTCCCAGCAGTGGAAATGGCATCACCTAGGGGTACAGCCATCCCTTCCCTACGCTGCTCTGCCCAGCCAGCCCCTTTACAGGGAATCTTTGGTGGCTCAGCCTACCCCACCCGATAACCACAGCTTTACTCCTCCCCTCAGCTGGATGGGTCCTGGAGAGGCCATTCACCAGGGGAAAAGGTTGGGTGATATTATAAGGAATCACAGTTATCTTATTAACAACTTCCCCTGGCACGGAGTTCCTGAGAAAATGAAGGAGCAGCTAGTCTGTGTGGGGCAGCTGGCAGCCTTAGCACCCCAGTCCTCACAGATTCACCCCACACACCCATCAGCCCTGGCATCCAGCCAACCTGGTTGTTAAAAGGCGACTCCTCCAGCCGCTTGCCGTACAGAGCCAGCTCCTCTCTCACCAGCCGGGCCCGAGCAGACGGCTCCAGAGGCCCCAGGGCCACCACATGGGCACCTTGGCTCTGCTCAAGGGTCTCCCCCAGGCTTGCGTCACTAGACACGCTCAGCACCAGGTGCACCCACTATGATTGGACAAAAGAATACGGAGGTAGAAGGAAAAGGAGGAGAACAATGTTAGACAGGCCCCTCTCCTCCCGGCTGCATCCCGCCCCCACCTCCTTCTCCCACTCACCCGGGGAAGGGTCTTTGGAATCCAGTCTGAGATCAGCTGCCCATGATGGTCCACCAACCTGTCAGCCCCATCGATGATCAGCACCAGGGCCTGGCCAGATTGCAGGGACTGAGCAGACCTGGGCAGCAGCCTCTGCTGCAGCTCCCACACCAGGCCCCTGTACGTGGAGGTGAAGGACCGGGGTCAGCGGAGAGGGAGACGCAGGGTTAGTATCATGCAGAATCAACAAGGCAGGGCTAATGGTGGGGATACACACCGGTAGGTGCTGGGGAGGGCACTCGGCTCTCGCAGTTGACTATGCAGATAGGCACAGAGGCGTCTGAGCAGGGTGAGGGCAAGACCCTGATCAGGGCGGGCCCCTGAAAAGTGGAAGAAGACTAAGGGGGCCACCTTGGCCCCATTAGGAGCCTGCAGGGCTGACACAAGGGATGCCTGTATGGGAAGGGAACCGAAAACATGGTCACATTTTACATGCACAAGCTCCCTGTGCCTACCCTCCTCAGCCCTCCTTAGCCCACAAAGCCCTCCCTCCCTCCTGTCCAGGCCTCTGAGACTCCGTACCAGGAAGGCAGTCTTTCCTTGTCCCGACTGTCCAGTCACCAGGCTCAGCCTTCCTCGGTGCAGTAGCAGCTGCTGCACTGTGTCCTGAAGAAGGCGAGGTCGGGCAGGACTCGGTGGATTCTGCAGCTGTTGGAAGGTGGCTTGGACCAAGTCATCATCTGGGATGGACACTGGCTGCTCTAGCTGGGCCCCGGGCTGAGGGCACACGGGACAGTGACAACGTCTCCACGCTCCTCAGGAGCCCAGGCCTAAAACTCACCACCAAGTTACTTCCCACCCAGGAGTACCCAGACCACCCTACCCCCCTCCACTCCCCTGACCACCAGCTCTCCTGCTGACCTGTAGGTAAAGCTTTTGGATCACATTCCACACATCTTGCAGAACCAGCTGCCCAAACTCCTCCAGCCCCGCAACATAGGGCCGGCCCGCGGCCACCCCGCCCCACTCACAGGAGTATCTGTGGGCAGAACAGCACAAGCACAGTCAGAGCAGGCCTGGCTCCCCTCTCCATGCAGGGGCGCTCTACCTCCCCCAGCTCACCTGCGACAGGTAATCCCTTTCTGTTTGTTCAGGTAGCTCTTCAGTTCTAAGATCCGATGTACAGCCTCTTCAGACTCAGGAATAAAGTCAGGTTTCCATGCATCTGGCACAGAGCTGGCCACCACAGATATGTCAGGAGTGATGCTAGACTCAGACCCTGGCCTCTCTGTACCCCCATGAGACCTGGCTCCTCAAGTGCAGACCTCCTGACATCAGCGCCAAGGCTGATCTGGTACTGCAAAGGCAAGGTCTCTGCGCCCTATTTCTCTCTTCTAGCTCCCTCTCCCATACTCTGACTATGGGGGGGAGAAGACATAGCCTCTGGGCCTGTTTGGCCTTCTGTGGAGGCCGAGGCCCAAAGGCCACAGGAGGTACCTGAGGAAGCTGGAGTCCCGGAAGTAGATGAGAGCTTGGGCAGAGGTCTGCTGGTGGAGGCCCCGATTCAGGAACTGCATCACCTCCATCTCTGTCACAGAGCGGCCTGAAGGGTACTGCTGGGCCTGAGGAAGAGGGCAGAGAACAGGCGGGTTCAGTCCTACATCACTCTAACCCCTCCCTGGAGACCTGCCAAGACCCCAAGGCTCTTTCATCTCAGTAACATTCCCCCCCACCTCCAGACACAAGCCAATAAAATATAGTGTACAGCTAACATTTATTGAATGCCTGTCATGTGTTGAGCATTTTTTATAGATTTCTAATTCTCCTAATAACCCTGCAATGGAGGTGTCACTGTTTCTCTTTAGTATATGGGGAAATTGAGACCAGATTAGGATAAGCTATTTCCCACAAAGCCACACACTAACAGAAGGGAGATGAGAACCCCAATCCATCTGACGGCAAAACCTGAAGAGACCTACCCTCTTAACTTTCACATCCCTTGATCAACACAGAGGTGCTTGTCAAAGAAATTCCCTCATCTAGGACTTGGCCACTCACAGAACCTGCCGCCCATGTTTCACTTCAAGTGTCGAGGACCTGCCTGTGTATAGTCCCAGGGCTCTTAAAGAATCATGGCTTCTCCCTACTCCTGCCCAACCTTTGTTTCCTCCCCAGGCCCTGCTCCAACCTCGTCTGCCTTACCCAGCGGAAGTGAGGATGGTCAGGAAGGTTGTAGGCAGGGGGAACGTAGCCATAGCGGGAGCCCAGAATCCCCACAAACAGATGCGAGCTCTCCACCTCCCCGAGGCACACTTCCAGTTGTCTGCAGGCATGATTATGGGGCGTCATATCAGGGAACACAGGCACAAATGGGGAGCCGGGGCCCCGGCTCACAACTGAGTAGCATGAAGGCAGGCTGTTCTTGTTAGCATCCACTGCCCTTGGCCCCGAGCCTTCCTCGCAGCCCCAAGCCTGCCCACCCCTGTTCCACCACTCAAGTGCCTCCCCCAGCCCTTCTTCTCTGTGGTCCCCACACCTGTTCCTACGGGTCTCCTCCTCGGTGACGCCCCAGCGCAGGTCAATGGCGTGAAGGCTGATGCGGTGGGGGGCCGCTCGGGCCTGCAATGCTGGCAGCACGGACCTCAGCAGCAGGTCCCGCTCCCCATGCATGTCCCGGAAAGTGGAGGAAATGAAAAGCCGGATGCTGCGCCATCTGGGGGTAAGCAGAGGGCCGGATTTGGTCTAGGGATCAGCCCCACAACCCAATTCCACAGACGCAGCTGTGATCACTATTCAGCACAGAACACGAGCCAGGTATGACAGACAGCAGGAGGGTATCCAGCAGGTCTCCAGAGAATAACCTGCCCGTAGCCCGAACTCCAGAGCCCTAAAAATGAAATCCCACTTACCATTTCTCATGCACCCCTCCTTTGTCAGCTAACAATTAATTACTACGCACTATGTGCCCAGGGAAGGCTCCTGACAACACTGTGAGGTAGGCAACATCATTATCTCCATTTTACTGTCCAAGAAACTACAGCTTAAGAAATTAAGCAATTAGCTCAGGGTTCACGCTACTATTTGGCAAAGCCAGGAGGAGAAAGCCGGAGGTCACGCTCCCCAGCCCTCTGCCTAAGCCCTGGCTGTATGCTGCCTGCCTCACATTCTGACCCCTTTTCCCCAGTGGAAAAAGGCACACGCTCACAATCTGACAATTTCCTGTGTTAGAGAAACCCCTGCCTGGGAAAATAGAAGCCTGCCTCAGTGACTAGAGCAAGCAGTATCTCAACAACCAGAATTTCAGTCACCTGAATTTCTCCAGGTTTTGACGGCAGCCCCTCCCAATTCACCAAGACTTAGAAACATAGACTGACCCAGGCTGGGAAACAGGAGCCAAGGGGTGTGGAGTATTCTCTTCCAGTGGCCGGAGAGACAGGGCCCCTGTCTTTCCTGGTGGTGGTGGAATCTTGAATATTTTGTCCATTTGGCCCACATGTTCTAGAAGACGAGAGGCTCCACGCTCTGCAATGAACCTGACGTAAATGGTGACAAAATAAATAAGAGCAGAATACCAGAATAAGAATCAGGAAGCTCTTCCAAAGGGGTAGGGGACAAAGATATGGCTAGATTAGGTCACTCAGTTAACTGGAGCTCCTGAAGAAGATGACCATAAGCAGTGAATGCAACTGAAAAATAAATGAGGATGCAGAACCACAGGGACAAAGAAAAAGAACTCAGTTCTAGCTACCCCGCCACTTCTCCCCTCCCCACTCACTCCCCGCTGCTGTGCATGGTTATGATATGCTTTCTGTTGGGTCAGCTGGGGTGGACAAAGGTGTGAAGAGTAAGGCCAACCCAGTCTGGGCCTGATTAGCTCTGTGCCAGCCATGAAAGCTCCCTGGAGAAGGAGGAATGTGTATGAGGCTTCCTAATAGGAGTTGGAGCAATGGGTGGCAGCCAAAGGAAAGGGCAGGGGAGAAAACATGTAAATGAGAAGGCTAAGCATGGAGAAAAATACAAAGTGAAACGATTTCTGTAAATCTGACTATAAGTAAATAAATTTAGCATGGGATTGCCTCTGGATCAAGAATGGAACGAATAGAAATGATATGACCAACTCTTGAGTTGTTCACTTAAAAGCAAATAGTGCATTCTCCCATATCCCCTTTTCCTCTTTCCTACTAGATGTAATACAAAAATGACAGCTGGAGCTAGAGCAGCCATCTTGAATCATGAGATAGAAGCAGAGTATTTGAGAATGGTGGAGCAATAAGATAGAAAGTGCCTAGGTGGCTGTAACACTGTGCTGCTGCTATGTCTAGACAGCTGTAAAAAGGAATAAACTTCTATCTTGCTTTAAAAAAGAAGTAAATGGAATAGAGACCACAGATAATGTCTGAAAGATGCTCTAATAAAGCCCCCAACCTCTTCAGTGTCCATCCTGTACTCACTTCAGTATCCCGTCGGTACAGCCTGAGACTGTCACGTCATTAGGATTCGAGTCTTGTAATCTGGCAAAGGAAGAAGAAACCCATTAGACACTGTGCCAGGAACACAGAGTTACTGCCCCCTAACACCCTAGGATGGACACCCCACTTCTATACTTTTAATAGAGTTATGTGCTAGGCTGGGGCTGGGATGGACTCTCACAAAGGGGTATGAGCTAGGCTGAAGACATCACAGAAGTTTCTAGCACCTGAAGTGCAACAGAAGTACGAGGCAGAGATGGGGAGGTGCCTGGCGAGCGGGAGGGTCCCAAGCTTTTGGGTGGAGAGGAACTATGGATCACTGTCTTCTGGCCCTGGGCAAGGAGTCTGAGCATCCTTACATGCAACCTGTCCTTCTCAGGAGAACACCCACAAAGAGACACTTGGAATTCACATGCTGCCAGATAAGCTGTTTAGCCTCATTGATCAGTTTGTCATTCATACTCTGGCCAAAGAGGATGACCCTGTCCACCTGTAAGATAAAAGGGGAGGGGCTGAGACCAGGGACCAGAGGGATAGAAGAGATGCCAAAGAGCTCAGGACATCAAGAGAAGAGATCTCTGAGGGCTGGGGAATTAGGAGAATTCTGAGCGAGATGGAAACTGCCTCTGCTGAGAGCACTTAGGGTGAGGCAGCCATTACACCTGACTTAGATGGAGGGGCATCAAAGCGGAGGTTGGGGCAGAGGCAATGGTGTGCTGTAGCTGACTCATTCCGGCTCCCAAGAGCTGCCTGTCAAATATTTAGGAACTATGTGAGCCAGTTGTTAAACATGGCCACTATTAAATATTAAGTGGTATAAACTTACAATTAAATAAATTATATTAAAAACGAAGGTAATAAATAAAACTCATCACTTCCTAATTATTTTACTGCATTTTACCATTATCTAGTCTTGATCTTCCTTACATCTATTTGATCTGTATTGTGGAACGATTATACAATGGTGTGATATGGAGCAACTGTTCCCAACTCTGCGTCCACTGACATCATAAAACCGGCTTGAAATCAGACATGAAAGAAGTATTTACACCATGGAAACTAGCAAATGCTATTCACCGAGACTTATTTTCCCAGATTGCTGGTCGCTGAACATTCACCAGCATAGCACTGGGCAGGAGGGTGCAGCCAGCGGGGAGCTGATCTGGGTACTGTACACAGTTTAAAAGCTTATCTTTGAGAAATAAGAGACATCAGTTGTGAAGGAAAAAGTGGGGGAGGGGAGGGTGTCTCAGGGACTGGGCAGTACTCACAGGAACTCTTTGAACAGCCAGAGACAGCAAGTGCTTCCCAAAAGTACGTAGGGGCCATTCACACTTTTCATCCAACTCCTGAGGGAAAGAAAGAGGCTCACGTTACGTGGTTGCCTGGGAGATAATCAGTAAGTAACAAACAGTTGCCTGGGAGATAATCAGTAAGTAACAAACACCCCAGTCTGCTTGGGAAATCTTCAGAGCTGTGTCTATCCATGCCTTTCCTGACTCTGCAGGCTGTTGTTCCCAGGCCTGTGTCCACTCATTATTTTTGCATGGTTGGGGTGGGTGACTGACCTGGACTTGAGCCTGGAGTTCGATGGCCGTCTTCAGGATACCGTCTTCTGCCTTAATCACAGCGGTCTTCAGAGCGCCTCTTCCGCACAGCAAGAGCTCCGCATGCTCGGCCCGTGCAAGCATCATTCCAATCAACAGCAGCACATAGTTCAGGGGGGGCTGATTGGACAAGCATCAGGATGAAATAAGGCCCCCTCACTTTCAAATCCACTCTTGCCCATCCAGCCCTGAAGGCCAAATACCTCCACTGGTCAGTGAAAGGGGGGCAAAATCCCCAGTTAGGACGGGACAGCTTCAGCAGCCCTCAGGGAGAAGCTGCAGGGGAGGGAGGTAGATGGCGGCCAGGATCACTGCCCAAATTAAGCACTGGGATGGAGGGAGCTAAAAGTGAATTATATTGGTGGCAGGAATTTAAAGAAGATTAAGTACCAGCCAAATGTGAAATGTTAGTATTTTATAATCCATGAACAGGTTTGGGACCACATTCTAGGAATTGTCCCTAGGGACCAAGGTCTGCCACTGGGAAGCAAATACATGTCATGTATTTCAGTTGCTTGCTTGTGCATGCTTGCTTGTGAGAACCAGGTCTGCAAACACGATCCCCAGCATCCTACCAACCTCACCCATTTTTATTTTTTTACCCCCTGTGGGTTGCTCTTGGGACAGAGCTCGTCTGCATCAGCATTTGTCAGATAGACCAAGAGGGTGCGGCCTGGCAGTGGGGGCAGGCTGTGCTTCACAGAGAGGTTCACGGCTGTCTCCAGCGCCTGTCGATACCGAGCCAGCATCTCACTGTCATATTTCCACTGTCTGCAGGCAGGAAAGACACAGACAAAAGGGCTCAGGAGCGTCTCTGCTTGCCACTTTAAGGTAGATGGGAAGATGAGAGCTCGCCACTCAGGTAGTGAGTCTTCACCCCCCTCCGACACCCCGCCTCCGTTGCCAGTAGAGAAGACTGGGACAGAGCTTCCCTTGGCCTGAATTCTACAGAACCCTCCTAATCCATTCTCACAGCAGAAGAGAAGTCATCTGTAGGCCCACTCTTTGACATCACTTGCCACCCTTAACACATCAATCCATATTCGCTTCATGAGGCAAGATTTAACTGCTACACATATTTAAAAAATGTGTCATATTATTGGACATTTGCTTTTAAAAACATCTTCAAAAAAAAGGAAAAATGAAAAGAAGAAAGGGATCAGAAAAGGAAATGTGGTAAAATGTAGATAATCACTGAAAATGGCTAACAGTCTTATGGGAATCCATTATACTATTCTCATTACTTGTATGCATGTTTAAAATTTTTCAATCTACAGAATTCAGTAATTACAATCAGTGCTACCCAATAGAAGTAAAATACAACTAATGAAATTAAATTAAAATTACGCATGTATTTTAAAATTTTCTAGTAGCCATTAAAAGTCAAAAGAAACAGAAGTTAATTTAATATTACATTTAACTTAATATATAAAAATATTTTCATTTCAACATGCAATTAATACAAAATTATGAATGAGATATTTTACATGCTTTTTCATACTGTCCTTAAAATCCAGCATATCTCAGTTATGACTAGCCACATTTCAAGTGCTCAGCAGCCACATGTGGCTAGTGGCTAGCTACCTTACTGGCCAGGATAGGCATACTGTTTGGACCATACCCTAGGCTTGATTCTTAAAGGTCCTGTGTTCAGCCAGTGATCACTGATTCAGGACATTCCTGGCCACTGAGTTCTACCAGAAAGTCAGATGCGCCTTTGCATTGAATGACTATGAATGAAGATACTGTTGAAGCATCTGAAAGGACAGGGTGCTGGGGCTTCATCAAGCTTACAGAACAAGTCTTATGTCTGTGTTTTAACTTGCTTGATAACTACATATGAGTCAAAAGAAAAAGGAAAGTGAATGGGTCAGAAAATACAGAGAGAGAAAAAAAAAAAAACCAGATTATCACAGAGATGAGAAAGAAGAAAAACCACGAACCAGAGCAGAAGCAGAGAAGACACTAGCATGCACAGAGAGAAAGGGGGACGCTCCGCAAGCTCACAGAATCCACAGAAACCAATAAAACAATCACAGAGAATAGAGCAGAGACCCAGACCCAGATTTTGTTTCATGATCTCTCTATCAGACATGTGAAGGACAAGGTTTGCTGTGAAAGACAGGATTGAAATCACACAAGTCTGAGCCATTGGGATGACTGACAAGCATGTCTTTACAGAATAAAAGTTGGGGTTCCCAGATAACTCCCAAATCCGGTCAGGGTACCTCTTGATGCCCTCTTTTCTCCCAGGTAGCACGCGCGCGCGTATGCATGCACACGTGCATGCGTGCGCGCGCGCGCACACACACACACACACACACACACACACACACACACACACATACACACCTGGTCCTGTGTATTTTTAGCTTCTCCCGCTTGAGTTTCTCATACATCACAGGCATCATCATGGCTGCCCGAAGTTCCCGACGACTTAAATTGCAAAGTTGCCTCTGCAATTTGACAGGCCTCTTGCCATTTCTTGAGTTTCTAATCATTATCCGCTTCATCAGTTGTGTGTTGGAAGGAAATGGCAATGCTGTGTGGTGACGGGTAAATATTTGAGTCAGGCAGCTTCTATTCCCTCATCTTGTTTTCCCATTATTACCTGTCCTATGCCCCAACGCTTGTGGCTGGCAAGCCTCTGACCTCTGCCCATCCCACCTCCTGAGACTGGAAGGCAAGAGGCTAAAAGTTACCAGTCAGGCTGCCTCATCTATTCTTCGACATGAGAGACAAACAAGAGTTGGAAGAAGAGAGATAATACCTTTATTTTTAAGTTGAGCCTCAAGGTCATTGATGGAATCATGGGCATTAAGGAATCTGAATGGAAACTGCCGACTGTGGATCACGGATTTCTGGAAAGCAAGGGAGGGGTCATGAGTATGTGGGGCATTAGGAAGCCTCAGCAACCAGGAAGATAAGATAACCCCTCTAGATCTGTGGGGAGGTGAGAAAAGACAAGATGGCTAGTAGAGAAGAGATACAGAGAAACAGAGAGAAGATTAAAGAAAAGACAAAGTCGTCATGTGAGACTATGAGAAGAGGTAAAGAGGCGAGGAAGTAACAGAAGGAACCCTGTTTCTCTTCCATCAGACTCCCTCTGAGGTCAGTCAAATCACAGAAGTGCCTCTTCCTGGTAAATCACTGATTTCAGACAAGAAAAAGAAAATTCTTACACTCTAATTTCTCAAAGGGTTGATGAATCCCCAGGCCTATCTCCCCCAACCTATCTGTGATCTCCATACCTATTTATAGGCCACATGGAAATAGCTTGGTGGCCATGGCCTCCCCCAGCCACTAGCAAAAGCCTGGCTTCCAAAGCTGCAGCAGCAGGCTCACCACACCGCCTCTAGCGGCTGGGCCACGTGACTCCTTGCCCCTCACACACACCTCATGCTGGAGTCGCTGCAGCACAAGCTCGTGGTGGCGGGCACTGATTCCAATCCGCAGCAGGTTGCACAGATTCCGAAGCATGGCCATGAATGGGAGCTTCCCACTGTCTGCAAAAGGTCGGGCATAGAGTGAGAAAAGCAAATAAATGACGGGTGAAGAGAGGTCAGAAACCAGAGCAAGTCGTTTATAGAGGTCATGTAGAAAGTTCAGGACGGAGGGAGCGAGGTCCTCACATGTGACCTATCTTACTCAAAATGTTTAAAGGTCTGGAAAAAAACAAAAACAGGAAAAACAGAGTTGGCCTGAAGTCTGGAGAAAAATGTATACAACACTGTTTATGAGGTGGCTGTTTCAATAAACAACGTATGTCATCACTTTGTCTGTTTGGCTCCAGCCTTGAGATTGGGCTCAATTTGGCAATGTGTATTCTCTAAGCTAGAGTAATGATTTCCAAACTTTTTAGATGGCTAAAAGAGAAATTTCCTAGTGCATGTCTGTTTTCTTATAAATTGTATACATGTAGCACAATCATTAGTTAATATTTCAAGGCACAATATACACTTAAGATGAGGTTCACCGTTAATAATAGTGAGTGGTGTAAATCCACATTTCAAATAGTCTTCTTGATACTTTTTAAGTTTTCTGGCAAACTTCTTATAAGATCTGATTAGTCATTTTTCATTTAAGAATGGGTGAAAAAGACTTGCAACGAAGAACAATTTCACCTGTCGCATTCTTATTGTTCCCTTGTCTCTGTGATATTAGTATTATCTCCATTATAGTTTCTTAATCATAATCTTTTTAAGGTTTATGTCCATTCTAGAGGGTTAGCTTGTTTAATACTAAATAATAATTCTAAATCCATTTATGATTCAAAGATAAGTTGCGATGTTACATTATGTAGAAACCAAAAAAAAAGTGAGGGGGCACCACCAATGTCCTCATATTGTGGAATTCCTCTTCCTTAATAAACTTCAACTGTCATATGTGACACATAACCATATACCATATGAACTAAGTGACTAGGGGGGTTCAATCTATATAATAAATATTAGAAAACTTCCTCCTATCTTTTAGATAAAGGTAAACATAAGTAGGAGGTGAGTACCAGGTACATTCAGACCACTTTAGAGACCATGCCTGTTGGCCCGTACACATACATCCCAGGCACTACATGCATTATCAGCAGCTTTCATCAGGAAAGTAGAAAAATTAGGTTGTGTACACAGTATGAATAATGTATAACAACTGATGAACTATTGTATCCTTTGTAAAGTCATCTCTCAACTTTTGCTATGTATGAAAGGTTTCCTTGATCATTTTTATAAGAACTTAAGTCCAATATTATATTTATGATACTAGAAAATAACTTGCGTATTTGTCTTATGAATTGAAAAATTCGCCAATTTCATTACAAAAAATAGTTAACGAGCCTGTGGTTTCCAAAGAGGGGTCTGCATATCTAATTACATTTTATCTTATATTTCATATTTATATTTATATATTTTAATATTTTCTGTTATCTACATTTGCTTTCATAGCTATATTTATATAATTATATTTTATGTATTTTTTAAAGTACATAATTTATTTGTACATGTACAAAATTTTAAAAAAATACATATACATATATTTTGGTGTATTCTAAAAACTCTTTAGCAATATGATAAAAAAAACCTGGAAACCACTGTATTAGACTATATGCATTAGTCTCAGCCAAGAAAAATGTCCCAGTTTTAATTTTCAGGGGCAGAAGGAGGAAGTAGAAGCTTCTTTATTCTACCCCACCCAAAGGAGAATCAATATGGGGGAAGAGGGATATTGTCAGGAATCTGTGTGCATGTGTGTGTATTTTAATCCCCATGTGACTTTGATGTGTACACCAGTGACAACCACAAAGTGAGAGGAGTGCTAAGCAGCTGAGCAATTCCGGCTGCCCTGGGTACAATCTATAAACAGCATTTCACAGAGAAATAAGGCAAAAGCCAACTTGAGTTTCTGAAGCTCCAAAATATGAAGTCTACAAAACTCAAGCAGTCAAAAAAAGGTCTACAGTTAGATGTTTCTCAACAGAAAGAAGGTGACTTTAAATTTTCAAAGATAAAAGAGGAAGTAAAAGAAAATAAAATGGACTAGAAAGAGGCTTCTATAGATAAAATAAAACAAACGAACAAACAAAACAGAGAGAAAGAGAGATTGAAAGTAAAGTGATCCTCCCCAATTCGAATTTTTTTTAATCAATGTGGACAAATTACCTAAAATGCCCATGTCCCAAATTTGGAGTTTGTGGAGATTTTACTATGTCACGTGCCAGTCAGTTCTACCTTGTTTGGATGAGTTACATAAATATTGCTACAAGTAAAATTAAGAGAGAAGGAAGGTGCCACTTTTGTCATGTGTTGACAAAGGTTTGTGTATCACCTACCCACATCTGGAATAATGACCTACCTATGAAGCCAATGCTACTCAAAGCAGGCACCACTGTCCACTTGGATGTGGTCAACAGCAGATCTTACAAGTCCAATCATTTTCAGTAATGCAACTACCAAGCAAGAGAATTTTCATGCCATGGAAATGAAATCTTCTAGTGAGGGTCCAAAATGGACAGGCACAATGGGGAAGGGAGTGCGACCGTCAATTTTACTGTACCGATGAGTTCCTCCCAGACAGAAGCTTTGTTCCCCTGCAAGCTCAGCTCCCGCTCCCAGGTCTCTGGCCGAGACAGCTTCATCCGCTTCCCAGCTCGGCTGGGGTCCCACGGCCCAGGGAGGCGACTTCGAGAAAAGGCCTGTAGGTTGGAGGGGTATCTGGAAGAGAGAAGGAAAAGTTTATCATTTCAAAGCCAGGTGAAAATAACTCGGGTAAGAAAAGGTGAGTCAGTCAAAGCCATTCAGTCATGTTTACAAGCCATGTCTGCCCAAACTAATGTTGCGGGGATCAGAACTACAGGGATTGGGGCCATGGATGTTAAAAAGTCATGGGGTTGCCCAGGTGGAATATATGTTCAGGGTATATCTTCTCACCTGTAGCCCAGCAGGGCATGGACGTGCTGGGCAGGCTCTTGGATACGCAGTCGCTGTACCAATTTCTTCAGGGTGAACCTTGGCTGATTCTTTTTCTCTGGCACCGCACTGTAAGTTGCCTCAAACTATGGAAATATCCCCAAATCCCACAGGAGTCATTTAATCTACGACCATGGTCACTTTCTTCAGAAGGCAGAACCTAAGATCATCCTACGCCTATAAGGTCACTTCTTTCCCCAAAGTAGATTTGGGCAAAAAGTGGGACGTGGGGTTAAAAATCTCTAGCAACAAGAGCATAAGATAGCAGTGTTTTGGGGTCACTGTGTTTCATTTACACAAGATTGAACTATCCATGGTAAAAAGGGATGATTGGCTTGTGAAAATCAAGATGGGGGTAGAATGAACAGAAAACACCTTGTTCTCAAGAGGAAAGGAAAGAGGAAAGCAGCTTTTATTTAAATCTCTGTGACTTGGAACAAGTCAATGGAGGTATCAGAACAATGCAGGTTGTGAGGAGTTAAAAACGAAAAGAAGTTGGCTTCCAGAATGTTCTATGGTAGAAGAGCTAAGTTTGGGATGTTTTCATAGGATGAAGGGAAAAGGTCAGCCGACCAACTTAGAATGTGTTTTCTTGTAATGCTAATATATATTATCCTAATAATCTATTTTAATGATATGAGGGGGATAGCTAACACTTAGTGCCAGGTATTGTTAGAAATACTTGAAACATAATAATTCACTTAACCTTCACAAAAACCCAATGAAGTAGGTACTGCTATTATCTTCATTTTATATCTGAGGAAACTGAGGCCTACCACATCCATTATTAGTATTTCTAAACCAAATGGAATTCCATTTCTAAATATCAGTTGAGAAAAGATTGTACATGCAAATATAGAACCCCAGAACAAGGCACTTACCTTCTTCTGTTCATTTTGAAGATGTTGAAGGCACTCAGGAAAATATTGCTGTGTCTCAGAAAACGGACGCTCCGTCTTCTGTAGGGACAAGAGACGCAGTTTCAAAAAGGGAAAGGAGGTTGTCCCTGGAGAGATCCGTTCCAATAGCCCCAAAGGCCCATCTCTACCAAAAAAGAAGCCAGGCAGGAAAAAGGCAGACCCTGCCTTCTCTGCCCCGAGTTCTACCCAGCTCCTCCACATTTTTCTAACTCCTTTTTTCCCTGGTGGTAGGAACATGCCAGACACTTAGTGTGGAATCCCCCAGAGTGAGCATGTTCCTTTGTCCCTCCCTTTCCAGAGAAAAGGGACCTGGGCTGTGAAAGACCAGGGTTGAGGCAGGGACTGACCGGAGGGCGAGGGGGCCGGCGGGGGCGTCTCTTGGCCCGGTGCTTCCGAGGGTTGTACTTGGCCAGCTGGTACTCATCAAACTGGGCAAATTTGTCCGTCATAGCAGCACGCAGGCAGGAAGGCAGGGGCACCAGCTTGTTCTCCTCTCCTTCAGCCAGGCTCTGTCAGAGAGTCAAGAAGAGACCACCAGGAGTGAGAGCCAAACAAACGCTCCAAGACAAAACAAGACCCTTCATGGGGTTTAATGAGAGCACCGAGCAGGGAGCGAGTTCCTAGCCCCACCTCTAAAATGATAGTTTCGGTGGTGCTGAGCTACTCAGCAGACTTCTTTGGTTCTCATTTGCTTCACCGTAAATACGAGGTACAGAATACGACTGATTTTTCTCAAAGTGTGCTCCAGCCCTTCTCAATCGTATTCTCCCCTTTGGACAACTCAGCCTGGTACAGGGAGATGCTGTCCTGTCTGGGCACTGAGGTTGAGGACAGCTGAGGGGAACCAAACTGTCTGAGAATTTTCTCTAGGGGTGCAGTGAGCAAAGGAGAAGGAACCAAGTGAGGGCCGAAGCCCAGGGAAGTGGGTGCCATACCTGGTAGAACTCAGCTACCTGGATCCAGTCAGAAGGCAGCTGGACAATGGCACAGAAATATCGTCGCAGGTGGGCACGGCAGACTGGCAAGAAGGCAGCAATGGCCAAGACTTGGTTGGCTACATCCCGGATGTTCAGTTGCTGCCTGGCATACAGAGATGCCTAGGGCACAGGGCGGGGAGGGTTGGCATCTCAGCCACTTCTCCCAGTTTCATGCCCTAACCTAACTTCTTATCTAACCTACCTGCATACAACCTCTCCTGAGCCCTCCATATTATCTATAAACTATAAAGTCTAAGCCTCTTGGCTTTGTTTTCTAAGTCCTCCACAATCTAGCCCGTATCCATCTTTGCACCATGTCTTCTCCTGAATCAACTGATCACCTCCCCAGTCAACCAGGCCCTTTCCTCTTTGGAAGACCTTCCTACCACCAACGTCTATCAAAGACTTACCCAGGGTTCAAAGTGCTAATTAAACCTACCATCTTCCAAAGCCACATAGAAAACATTTTCCCCCTCTTCTCTGTTCTGAAACATTCACTACTTACTATACCATTTGCACTTACATAATACTTGGGAGTGTTTTGCTGACCTAACAATACCATAAGCTCCTTTAAAAGCTACACAATGTTTCATTCTATCTGTGGCTATGACGCGCAAGGCCTACCACTGTGTACTTAGCTGTGTACTTGCTAAACAAGCAACCCCTGGTATATTCGCTCCAAATCCCACCTTTCCAGCCCCTTAGAGAACCCCAGGGACCAGGCCACAGACTCACCTGGAGACCCTACTCCCTTCCTAACTGAAGCTCCTTCTACCTGCAGCATGAATCTGGCCGCCATTCCCTCACACACCATAAGCGCATTCCCTAGCTCCCAGTTTCCCACTCCCATCCCCTCCTTCACGCCACAATACCTTGAGGATAAACTCAGGCTCCAAGGGGGCAAGTTCATTACAGGCTTCCAGGAGGGAAGCCTTGGTAGGGTCGGCTGCATGTTTCATGTTTACATTTGATGCCACTGTAGAGCACAGCAAGCTCATTAGGGCCATCTGGGAATTGGGAGAGGGAAGGAAAGAGGAAACAGGTAATAAGGACCAACTTCAGCATCTATTCAGGCCAACTTACTAAATCAAGGACAGAGACAAAAGACCCCAGATTCAGGAAGATGTTTGTCCAACTGAGAGGTTAGAAAAAGGGATTAGGAAATGAGAAATAAGAGCTGGGTAATGTAATGCCCCCTCCTGCCCCTTCCGTCTGTAGAAGGGATCTGGTTCAGCCTTTGGGCACCACTCCTCCCATCGACCCCACACCCTTCCCTCCACCACCATCAACCTCTCCCCAACTCTGGAGCTTTTACCTTCTTTTCCTGAAGGACCCGGTCAGTGATCTCAGGACAAGATTCAGAGTCCCCATGGGTGAGCTTCAGGTCCAGCTCCTCCTCCACCTCCTCGTCTCCCAAGCTTAGGCTATAAAAAGGAATTGGAGCCTCTGCCCATTCCTTTTCTTCTAGGTTTTTCTTTTCTGAGGAGGACCGATGACCCTGGAGATAGCGGCAGTTATTAATCACAACATGCACCCACCGCCCCTCAAACACAGACAGATCCGAAGGCAGGTCCCAGGAGGAGGAAGAGCCCACATCTGTCTTCTAGCACCTAAACTCCTTTCCCTTTGCACCCAGCACTGATCTGTCCTGTCTGACGTAGGGATCTTACTGTCACACACACCATCTTGCCCAACTCAACCTTTGCTCAGATGCTTCATGATCTTCCTCTTGCTTTCGTCTCTCTAATGACGTCACAGCCTAGAAGCCTGGAGCCCCCTATAAGACACACACCTCCAATGATGCTATTAAAATATTTTGGAGTCAGAAGAAAAAGGGCCACATCCCAGGTGAATCCCCCAGCAACCTTGGGATGCTTTACCTCTGAACTCAGCTTCCTCATTCCCTACCACCTACCTGATGGGGCCATTAGATGAACTGGGATAATGTATATGTGACTCTTGGCAAATTGCAAAGCCCTAATAAACATAAGACGGCAGTAGTTATAATCCTGACAATGACCCCGTGAGGTAGATTTTCATTGACCTCATTTCCTCCTGCAGAGGCTTTCTAACGACAGGGCCTATTTTTGCTCTATTGTCCAGAATCTCTGAATTAAATATGCAGTAAGAGTAATGGGCGGATGAAGACAGCCCTGAAGTAAAGTGCACCTCGGGAAGAGGCTCTGAGGAGAGACGGTACACAGACACAGAGCAGCACAGAGACACTGTGACACTAAAAGCTTAGGACTAGAGCATCCAACAGACATGACTGGAGTCAAGACAAGTGCCTGGAGCTATTACCAAAGCTGTTTCCTGAGCTCTCTCTGGGGCAGACGTGGATTTCAGAGCCCTGGGGCAGGTCTGAAGGCCTAGTCCCTCAGAGAGGCACAGAGCCCTCCAGGTTGGTGGCTCAGAGAGCAGGTGATTGTTGGTGTTCAGGCTGCACAGATCGGCTTGCACCAGATGAGATCTCTGGAGACATTGGAGCAAGGGGCTGGCAGACACAGTGCTCTTTAGGACAGGGAGTGTGGTCAGGCACCGGTTCTCCAACGAGAGGATGTCCGGGTGGGCAGACACATGCCCATATGGTTTCTCCATGGTCTTCAGGTCAGGAAGTGTGGTCAGGCACCGGTTCTCCAACGAGAGGATGTCTGGGTGGGCAGACGAATGCCCACGTCGTTTCTCCACGATCTTCAGGTCAGGAAGTGTGGCCAGGCACCGGTTCTCCAAGGAGAGGATATCTGGGTGGGCAGACACATGCCCCTGGAGTTTTTCCATGGCTGGAGCCCAACAAGCATATCCTAGAAGGAGAGAAAGACAGATTATGACCACCTGGCTGCGCTTGGGGTGCATTTGCACTGGGAATATATCTTTCTCATAGCCTTCTTGGTAATGCCAGTGACCTGCAGGCAGAGAACAACCAGTGTTTCTTTTCCCAAGGCTGGGTTCATTATAAGGATGTATTCAGGGAATGCTCTACAGAGAATACAGGGAGTATTCTATAGGAGACACTAGGGAAAGGTAAGGCAAAAACTTAAGAGAAGGGAAAGTAAGAGAGAGAGAGAGAGAGAGAGAGAGAGAGAGAGAGAGAGAGAGAGAGAGAGGAAGGAAGGAAGAGAGGAAGGAAGGAAATGTCTTCTCATGAAGGGGTAAAGGAGCCCCCCAGGACCATAGGTGTGATCCCAACTTAGTACGGGAGCCACATTTGTAACC